GCCAGCCTGGACTACTCAACAAGACCCTGCTACCACCCCCAAAATAAAGTAAGAGAGGCTGGGGAAAGGGAAGGGCAGAGGAAGGAGAGGAAGGGAGGAGAGGAGAAGGGAGGAGAGCAGAGAAAGCAGGCATGGATCGCAGAGGGGTGTGGAGATTGATGAGCTACCGAATGTGTGTTCTCTGAGGCAATCATCGGAGCCGCATGCTGAGCTGAGACCACAGGCGCAGGCTGCTGCTCCCTCTTGGGGAGGGGAGGGTTTATTTTTTTATGGCTGGCGAAGTTTGTAAGGTATCTGCAGGTGGTTGATTTGTAGAGAAATCTGTGTACGCCCATGCTTGATAACAGGTCTAATAACAGCTGCCAACATTTACAGAGGACCTGGTGACAAGGGCCAAGGTGTTAATAGCAACAAAGCAGGGAACATTTGTTCCCCACCCCCACATCCCCACTTTAGACACAGTGCTAACTCTGAGGCAAGCAGGTCTACTTACAGCCCCTCATAGGCATCCGAATTCTGCATAGGACTTTCAAAAATCATAGCCCCTTATCGTTCAAAGCCCCGCCCTCTTTGGAAGGGTGCCTGTTCTTTTCTGAACGTACCATGCCCTAAGCAATCTGAACACTCCTGTTCTTTATTATCCATGAAATATAATGGCTCAGCAAAAAATGGCTCTACTAAACCAGTGCTTAAGAGAGAGCTAAGTAATTGCCCTGGCCACGGTTGCTCCTTGTCTACTGTAGCTGAGCCTGCCAAAGCCCTTCAAAGGGGTTGGAGGGCACTGAAGCTGACCGTTAAAAATAGAACCCATCTTTATTTAGTTGGGCCACCCAAGTGCTATCCTGCATCCCCAGCGATGCATTAGCTGCACTCCCCAGTGGCCACTGGCATCGTGTCTGCTCCGAGTAAAGGAAGGGAAGAAGCCAGTGCACCTTGACTGGCTACCCAGAAGCATTTTCACCATTCACATATGCTGCACAAGTCTGCCAGCGCGGTGAGGACAGAGCCTCTCCCCTGTCCCTTCTTCGCTTCATCCAGATCTCCCGTGAGGAATGAGGCGCCACTTCAAAGAGGCGGGTGTTCCGCAGGTGGCTCACCACTTCTGACTGACTCATGCTGGGGTTTAGCCACTGCCTGCGCACAGACTTTGTTTCGGGGAACGTATTTATCTGACCTTTCTTTGAATAGACAACCCAGGAGCAACTCAGGAAACCAAGGCCCCTCCATGCCGAGTGCGGCATTTGGGTGAGCTGCAGGGATTCCAAAGTGTCTACTTCTCTCCTTCCTTAAGCCTGCACCAGCCATGTTACAGCCAGCCTCACTGGTACAAGTCATTCCTCTCTGACAGGAAGGGGATGGCGGCCTGAGGCTGACAGTGTGACATACTCGGCAGCTGTTGTCACTCGAGTACAAATGAGGCAGGTAACCAATAGCCGCAGGAAGAGAAGTTGGTGGTACTTGGCATCCATCTATGTTTGCTGCTTTGGGACAGCCAGGGTTGAGACCCCAGGTACCCTGAGGAAGGTCAAGAGCCTGCCCTGCCTAGCTTGGGTGCCTGTAACTGGCAGCCCCTAGGAGGAGAGAGGACTCTTTCTTGTCTGACTCACTTGCTCCCAGGAACCCTCACTATTCAGCACCTCCCAACTCCACGGGGTGTCTTATTTTGTAGTTCAAATCCATTTTCTCAGCCACACCTTGTCACAGAAGAGTCACTCCATCTCCATGAAATACTTCAAACCCAAGTATGAGCTGAGCTCAGTCACTGGGCCTTTCAGGCAGCATGAGGGGCACCTGGGAGGTGCTGACCTCTGAGGTCTCTTACGAGACCACCTGCCTCAGACTCTCAGAGCCCCTTAGGCCTTAGAAAGTTCGCCTTGGGATTTTGCAGCAGAGTGACAGCTAGGCTCCTGAGTTGTCCCCATCAAATTCTAGTTCACTCCCCAGCAGGATCTACACAACATGCAAAGCCTAGAGGCCTAGAGGCCACAGTATAGTTTCCCACATGGAGCTACTTTCTGTTGGGGAGGCGGTTGCGATGGGCAGAGGAAGGTGAGGCCAGAAATCTCTACCATGGACTGACGTCATGTCTCCCTATGATGAGCTGCCCTTCCAAACCAGCTGGACCGCTTCCACTTAAACAAGTCACTGGTCCAGGCTTCGTGCCCTCTTCAAAGATGTTTAAGGTCAAGACGCTTAAACAGGATACAATCGCATAAATATGCCAAAGAAACGATGTAGGCGCTCTTTGGAGAGAGGCCTTAGCTGAGACAGGTCAATTAGGGCCACCACCGGGTGCCTGAGTAGTGTGATCGTGTTAATGGAGACCCTCACTGAGTCTTTCTCAAGTTTCTCTCCAAAAGTAAAATCAAAATTATGCAATTAAAATGCTCACAGCTGGGGCTGCATGTTCTTGAGCTGATTGAAAGATGAAGAAGTGGACAGGACAACGTTTTGAAACAGCAATTGTCCCTGTAATTAAATGCAATTAACTGACAGAAATGTCTGCGTTTCCCATCCTGAAGCTGATTGGAATGCTAAGACTTTAGAAGAGAAAACAGGACCCCATCTGATGCCTTGTTCCTTCTAACCCAAGGACTCAGCAGAGCACACAGAATGCTACAGGCGAACAGCACACCAACTCTAAGATGGGTGGGGCAATGGGCTCATCGGAGGAAGGCAGCACCGGGCAGGCTAGCGGTCTGGGCTGCCGTGCGTTCTACCCACAGACAAGAGCAGGCTGGGCTGTAGTGGAGACTTGCCTACCATGCTGAAGACTTAGGTTCAATCCTCAGGGGAGGGAGAAAGAAAAGGAAGAGACATCAGGTCTTAACAAATCATCCATGGCTGACCTCTGGGATGTAAATGCTAAGCAGGCCTCACACCCACAGGTGAGAATAACAAATGCATTTCTTTTAAAGTTTTCTGAGCTGGGCAGTGGTGGCACATGCCTCTAACCCCAGCACTCTCGAGGCAGAAGCAGGCAGATCTCTGAGTTCAAGGCCAGCCTGGTTTACAAAGCTAGTTCCAGGACAGCCAGAACAACCCTGAAAAAAAAAAGTCTCCTGACTATTGTAGACATTGTGGAAAGTAAATGTTTCACATAATCTCACCTCAGAGAGAGAGAGAAAGAACCACTGAGTTCCCTCTTTCTCTTGAATTTTGAGACAGGCTTTCATTTTGTAGCACAGGCTAGCCTCTCAGTCAATATCCTTCTACCTCAGTCTCCCTAAACCTGGGATTATAGGTGTGTGATACCACACAGGGCTCTTCTTTCTTGCATATGTATTTTAATTAATGAGTACACATTCTTAATATATTATACTTATTATATCCTGATTTTTGTTATCACAAGTATTACTCTATTTTAAAAGTTCTCCTTCTTTGGTTTTTGTTTTTTGCTTTCCTTTTAGTTTCATTTTGTTTGAGACAGGGCTTCTCTGTGTAACTCTGGCTGTCCTGGAACTTGCTCTGTAGACCAGACTGGCCTTGGACTCAGAGATCTGCCTCCTCTGTCTCCTGAGTGTGGGAATTAAAGGTGTGCCCGGCTAACCCATGTTTTTCCACCTAGACACCTTTGCCTACCTCTTGATGTCAAGGGCAAAGCAGACCCAATTCTCTTGCTATACACCATTCTTTACCAGCCGAACTGCTTACCATTCCTCAAATGTCCTGAGAGACCCCACCCCCATGCCCAGCTAAGTTCCTATTTTATTTTTACATGTATTTATGTATTGTATGTGTGTGTTTTTTGTACACATCATACATCTTAATTAGAGTTACTATTGCTGTGAAGAGACACCATGACCACAGCAACTCTTTAAAAGAAAACGTTTAATTGGGGCTGGTTTACAGTTTCAGAGGTTTAGTCCATTATTGTCCTGTAGAGAATCATGGCAACATGCAGTCAGACATGGTGCTGGAGAAGGAACAGAGAGTTCTACATCTTGATACACAGGCAACAGGAAGTGAACTGTCCCACTGGGCATGGCTTGAGCATAGGAGACCTCGAAGTCAGCCTCCACAGTGACACACTTCCTCCAACAAGGCCACACCCACTCCAGCAGTGCCATTCCACACGGGCCAAGCATTCAAACACGTGAGTCTATGGGGGCCACTCCTAGTCACACCACCACAGCATGACACACGCGAGTCCATGGGGGCCACTCCTAGTCACACCACCACAGCATGACACATGCGAGTCTATGGGGGCCACTCCTAGGCACACCACCACAGCATGACACATGCGAGTCTATGGGGGCCACTCCTAGGCACACCACCACAGCATGACACACATTCGAACATCAGAGGACAACTGCAAGAACTGGTCCTCTCCTTTTACTGCGGGTTTCAGGCATTGAACTCAGATTGAAGTCTTGGCAGCAAGCGCCCTTAACCAAAGAGCCATCTCACCATCCTATAACTGCAAATGTCCAAACTAAAATCTCACTATGAACGCATAGCATTACTTACTCGATCATCCTTTATTATCAGACTTATGAATCATGAACCAGTCACAGAATTTTGGTATTATGTTATAAAAAGAACATATTGTAAAAATCTGCCTGTATTTCTGTTTTTTTTTCCTTACAGGGTTTCTTTTAAGTACAGTGTCCTCAAAACATGTTTTCGAAGGTTGAGGCTTATACTGTGGACTGCCCCCTAGAAAGGCAGCCAAATTATATTTCCACTAGCAGGAAAAGATGATGATGGATCCTGGGTCCCCTCCAATACTGAGCACTGTCTCTATGAGACTAAGCTATGGAACACTCAGTGGCCACTTCTGAGAGAAGGGTCACTTCCTAACATCCCCTAAGTCTGGAGATGTGTCACTGGGGTATCTGTCTTTGCTCCCCTGAGACTATAAGGACACGCAGAGGTCAGGGGCCATTGCGTGCCCTGCAGGTGGTTACGGCCATGAAGAGCCAGGGAGGAGACAAGTTGTAGACATGGGCTAACTGGAGTCTGCCCCCATGTCACCCATGTCCCTCCCTGTTTTCCAGCGGTGTTGACCAAAGATGGGCATCAGGTCATCCTGGAGCAGATAGAGGACTGGAATCTGGTGGAGCTTGTGGTGAATGAAGAAACAGTCTTCCAGTGTGATATTCAAGACCTGGAGTTTGGTAAGGCTGTAAGAGGCCACTGCCCAGCACTCAGCCTCTTCCAAGAAGTCCTCAGTTTCAGCAGGGAGTCTTGCCTAGAACCAAACTGGGGTTCTTTCTGCGTTTCAAACACACACACATACACCCCATGGCACACGCGCGTGCACGCACGCACACACACAGGCGCACACATGCACGCATGTATGGCATGCATGCCATACATTCACAGATGCATACACATACACATACACACACATTCCATGGCAATCACGGGCACACACGCACACATGCACGCACACACACACACACACACACACACATGCCTCATGGCACAGAAACACCACTATAGGGATGATAAGATGGTAGTTTATTGAATCTACTTTTAAACTAAAAAAGCAGCTACTAGTCATAACTATTTTACATTGGTATGGATTTTTTATAGATAGATATAAATTTAAGGTTATTTTTGATGTACTGTATATATTATTTAAGGTATTATACCTATACAGCTCATTTTAAAATGTAATGTTAAGTTCCAGTCCTTTAAAGCTATTATGAACTGTTTAGGATGATTAAGAAATGTAGGTTAGTAGTTAGTCACCTATAACAATCAAACATTAGTCTTGTATGTGTGTTTTCAAGGTTAAACAGATATATTTTAGATAGATAGGTGGTCTTCAAACATTTCAGATACTTACAGAATATAGCATTTAAGATGTTTTTTAAAACATAAGCCTTTTCATGACAGTGAGACACATCTGCTCCTGACAGCACCAATTTACTTAAAAAAAAAAAGATGATGGGCACCAAAAAACCTCCATATGGAGTTTGCCGTCAATGTGGCAAAGCTAGCCATGGGGCAAAGAAACTGTCCTTGTCTCAGCTGCTGACAGTGTGTTGTCCAAACTGGATAAGTAGGACACAAAAGAAGGGAACTTCCAAAGACAAGTTAAGACAGCCCCGCAAAATTCCTGCTTTATAGAAAAATCTGTCAGATGTTCTAGGCCTGTAGGCCAAAGACGCATGCTCCAATATTGCAGAGGAACCTTGGGGTGACTGTCCAGGCAGCCAGCTGTTTCTGTTGCTCATAGTTTTGGAAGTTGCTTGCTCTGCACTTCTGTTTACTCAGGTAATATCATATCCTTCTTGTGTCTCTGATGGGGTTGAAGACTAGATGGTTATAGTTATAGTTTTCCTTGTACCAAATTCAGAAGAAAAAAAACTTATACAAGAGATGTAAAGTATATAAGGTTGAGAGACATAAAAGCTTAAGTCATCTAACTAAAAATGTTCTAAGGTCTAAGAAGGTATTTTTACAATGGCCATACAAGTTATAATAGAAAATGGTATAGTCATAAAACTTTGGACTCATCAAGATAGGATAGATAAAAGAGTAATCTCACCAAATTTGCCAAGTAAAAATGAATTTGACATTTTGAATGTCATTCTTGATTATTCTTATTGTATATAATTTTACAATATTAGAATTGAAACCTTTCCTTTTTACTTAGACAAAAATGGGGAAATGTTGTGGGATATTTGCACACCATGTGAAGATGAATCGCTGGGATTGATGTGATAAAGAGCTGAATGACCAATAGCTAGGCAGGAGGCATAGGTGGGATTTTGGGGCAGAGAGAGAGCTCTGGGAAGAATAGAGGTGGAGTCACCAGCCACAGTTACAGGAAGTCAGATGGGCAGTGCAGAGATGAGGTGACACCCACAGTAGAATGTAGATCACTAAAAATGGGTCAATGTAAGTTATAAGAGCTAGTTGAGACAAGTCTAAGCTCAAGGTCAACCTTCCTTAATAAGTTTCCATGTCATTATTTGTGAGCTGATTGCATATAACATACACACACACACACACACACTCTCTCACTCACTCATACACATACACACACTCTTTCTCATGCACACACCATGGCACACACACCACACATACACACACTCACACCTACATATATTATGTCACACATGCCATACGCATATACTCACACACATGATCATACACACACACACACACACACACACACACACACACACACACACTAAAGTGATATAGTACCCAGCTTCTTTCCCAAACACTGGAGACAGCAGAGGAAAGCTGAGTCCAGCTTTCATATGTGATAGAATTGGAAGAAAATAAGATTTTGTGTTTAGCTTCTTTTTAAAACGTTAGTAATGTGTTTTATTATATCCTTTTCTTCCATGTGATTTTGTTCCACTTGTTTATTTTATCTAGACTTGTGAGAAAATTAGAGTATACCCATAGTATATGGCATTGTCAGCTATATTCTGCACATTTCTTTGCCCTGGAGGGCTGCTGACCCATAGGCTGGCACCATGTCTGCTTCCCTGTGTCTAAGAGTGAGAGCTTTGGGAATCCACTAAGACTCTGCTACAGGCTACTTAATGTTTTACATGCCTGTGGCCTTCGAAAATATGCTCCTGGAAGACCAAGGTATATTTAATACTACATCAAACTGTACATAAAGCTAGCCAAAAGGTGTGTGTTTTTTTATTTCCCTAGGGGGTGACGGTAAACTAGACCCGCTGTGTGAAGAGGCCAGGATAGCTGTGCTAAATGCCTTCTGATCTCATGGAGCAGACAGAAGAAACCCAGCTATGCCCTCCAATCTACAACTGGGCATATGGACGGTGGGTGCCACCAATTAGAACACGGCAATGGCACCTGTCCTCTAGTCTGGACAGTTTGGGTTTCTCATCTTGCTGCACAGACTCACAAAAATAATAAAAACCACTCACTTGCAGCGTCTGTCAGTCTCAACCCATAGGGAGAGCCCTCCAATATCAGGTGCATGTGAACCTGAAGGAAATAATAAAATGCAATCTAATAACAGCACCATCCCCTAATAAAGCACCATTGCCAGGAGCATTAGACATTCCATTCCGAAGCAAGTTAAGAACTAGGAGTAGGGTTAAATTAAAGCATGCCTGGGCAGGGGGTGGGAATGAGGCCTTCGGAACCTTGACCAAGCCAGTGTCAATGAAGAAGTCGGAACCCTGGGTGTCTCTACAGGTTTATCTCTTGTTCCTACTGGAATACATTTTTAATCACTAGTATAAGATTAGGTGAGATCAAATCTTCACTTGTCCCTGTTGCAAACAAGAAAGACTTCTTTTGTGTTGGCCAGTTCAGCTGGATGCGCTGAAGGAAGCAGGGAACAGTCTGGGTTCCCTGGTGGAAAACACAGCCTCATAGAAAGGGACTTTAGCGACAGGCGCTGTACAAAAAGAAATCAGTTGTGCTGAAATGGTGTGTGCTTGCTTTCCATATCCTAGGCCGCACGTGTGTGTGTGTGTGTGTGTGTGTGTGTGTGTGTGTGTGTGCATGCATCCGTGCATGCGTGTGTGTAGAATTTTTTAAGAATGTATAATAGACAATACTGTATGGTGTTACACATGAGGTTGTTTGAAGCAGCATCTCATATTTTAGAAGACCCCAAGGGACGTCAAGAGACTGCAGAAAGAAAGGTTCTTCCATGCTCTACACCACCTGGGAACTGTCCTTCCTGCCACCCTGGGAAGCCTCAGGTTCCCACATCCCCAGACTACAAAGGCCAATAGAGATTCCATGTGCTGAATTACACCCTTGGCCCAAGCTTCATTTGCCAGAGTCTATCCAGATTACAAATCGCTCAGACCTCTTTGGAAATATTTAATCATCCCCTTAGTAAGAAACCCAGGCTCCAGTACAATTCCTTCCTGGTATCTGTATTAGTTTTCAAAGTTCCTCAGTCCCTTTGGTCATAGGCCAACTTCAGTTACAATATATGTAGCATTTCATCTTTATTTCAATATAAAACTTTAGAGGAATATATTTTCACTAAAGAACTATGGAAAATACAAAGTAATGACAATGTACAAATTCAACATCATTTTGGTGTGTTTCAGGTTTGAGTTTCTTCTGTTTAGGTCTAGATATTCACAGAAATGAACACACTCAGAACTTGGCCAGCCTGGTCAAAATCACAATGTAATTTCTTCTTTTAACTTAGTGTTTTATACTGGGCTTGTTCGCATGTGCTGAGCATTTACTAAATGCCTGGGCATTGTGTCTAATTCAGGGAAGTTCTCCCTCCTTGTAAGTGTGTAAGGGGTTGTCTAAGTCCATACCTTGTTGCTGTAACTCAGCATCTGGCCCGAGGTAATACATGAAGAAAGAAAGGTTTATTTGGCTCATAATTCTGTTTGGTAGAAAGTCCAAACAGCATGATGCTAGTGTCTGGTTGATGTGTCACCACATGGCAGATGACATCCCATGTGAGAGATAAAGTAAGAGACAGGAGAAGGCCCAAGCTTTATATGAACACACTCTTGAGACTGGTGAGACGTGATTCATGATAACATTATGACAGCATTCACATGGCCACTACTAATAGCATCATTAATCTCTTCCACAAAAAGCAGTCACGACTCCTCTGCCTCCTTTTAGGTCCCACCTCTCAAAGAGCCCCCCGTTGCACTGGAGACCAAACTCCAGCTCACAAACCTTACAGGAAAAAACCTATTCCAATCCACAGGGAAAGTACTTTCTAGTAAACACTGAAAATACATGTAAGGGTCAGCAAGATGACTCCATGGATAAAGGTGCTTGCCACCAAGTCTAGTGATCTCCATCCAGTCCCCAGAGCTCACATGGTAAGAAGTGAGAACCAGCTTCCACAATTGTCCATACACACACACACACACACACACACACACACACACACACACGTTAAAAATGAGATAAATACACTTAAGACTTGGGCATGGGAGCCGCCTATCCACATGGCCTCTCTTTGGAAATGACTGAGGACATGTCCCTGTCACTCTTCTGCCTTCTCTGCCTTCCATCTCCTTGAAGACACTTCCCTGTAGAGAACCAGAAACCTGCTCACTCCCTGTCAAGACAAAGTGCTCTGTGCTGCAGCAAGCTAGACATCCGGGTGCCTTTTAATGCTTTTAAAACACCACTTAATTAAATCACATTTCAAGATTTATAAGATGACAAATCAATGCCACTGTTAGTGGAACACATTAAGAAAGTGTCTTTTTTAGAATAGAATTAAAGTCATGGTTCTGTCTCAACAGTTTAAAATGAAATTGGAGTCCCCAAGCTTTTTTCATCATTTAAATTTTTTAGTGACTAGGTTGGAGCGGGGGCTTCCAGGACTGCTGCTGGAAGCCCCGCTGACACCACCTTCTTCCTCTTATTAGTTTTACTCCTGAAACCTGTGGCCAGCAATCCTCAGCTCACTAGGGTAGTTACAGGAAACTTTCGGTAGTGTGCCAGAGAGAAGACCCAGAAGACATCCTTGTCCCCTCTGGGGCTAGATACTTCCTTTGACACATCTCCCAGACAAAGCAATCCTGGGACCTGATACCCAAATCTTTCTGCCCCAGACACTGACTTCCAGCTGGTGCCTTTGTGGGTGATTCGATGTTACAGGAAAAGCACAGGTCAGGTGATAACAATGCATGCTCCCTCTGGGTGCCAAGTTTCCAGAAAAACACCCCAGCCAGCCAGATCCAGGTGAGAGACAAGACAGTGCCAGCAGAGGGATGGTCTTCCTGAACTCCACATTTAAAGGGAAAAGAGCACGAGACTGTAGTGCAGCCAGGTGCTCTCAGCCTGGCTATGAGCTAGTGCCCTGAGTCATGGGACGTATATAAGGGATCTTCTCCATGTAGACTCACATTCTTGAGTGACAGAGGCTGGGTGACAGCAGGTTGACAATGCTGAGCTCATCTATGAAGATGGACCAAACAGCGCAGTAATACTGCCCAGTGAGCATGGGGAGTGACATATCCAGGCTCTGGGTACTGTCATCCTCACCTACCACGTCACTGCTGCTTTCCAGGAGGAGACAGGTCTGAGCTATTGATCTTCTGGATCTTTCCAGAAAGGCTAAAGTCTTGAGTTTCTATTTTATTTCTTCCCTTTGTCTGATACTGAGGATTGAACCCAGGGACTCCCACAATCCAGGCAGGAGTCCTGGCATGACTTACACCTTTAAATCTCCATTTTAAAGAAACACAATGTCCCCAGTGGTGGTGGCACACGCCGTTAATCCCAGCACTTGGGAGGCAGAGGCAGGCAGATCTCTATGAGTTTGAGGTCTACAGAATGAGTTCCAGAACAGCCATGGTACACAGAGAAATCCTGTCTCAAAAGAAAAAAAATAATGTTATCTAAAAAACAAGCATATTCATGACCATCAGTAGGATGGTCCTCTGTACTGTGTGTTCAAGACCGCTGCAAGTGTGCCTTTGGTCTGGGCATCATTTTACCTATAAATTCCACAATTTCCCCATAAACTCCATGGTCATCCTTCCCAGGAGACCCACAGCCTTTCCGCTTACAATGGGGCTCTATGTAAATTACTCTGTTCCCATGAAATACTTGACCCAGTCATTTACATATACAAAGAAAACACCAGGCTGGACACTGCAGAAGCTGACTTCCTAAAAGGCTGTATCATCCCTGTGGTTAAGCACTGGACCCAGCTGAAACAGAGCTGCACCCCTCCCATCCTGACACACACCCACCCCTCCCGATGGACTACATCCACCTGCAGTGTCCAAAGCCTTTGAGAAGATGATGCTCCCATTCAAGCGGCCCTGGAGGGGAGGTCAAGGGCAGTCACCCAGAAGCCATGAAAGAACGCGAAGTTACGGGAGGCAGAGGCAGGCGGATCTCTGTGAGTTCGAAATCAGCCTGGACTACCAAGCGAGTTCCAGGACAGCCTCCAAAGCCACAGAGAAACCCTGTCTCGAAAAACCAAAAAAAAAAAAAAAAAAAAAAAAGAATGCTAAGTTACACCGGTTAACAAGTTAGAGGGAACACAGGCAAGACTGCACCAATGACATTCCCAACATATAACACAAAGAGCCAAGCTTCTGGCTGCAAGGAATGCGCTGATATTGTGGTCTCCAGGAGGTAGTCCCAGCCTCTTCCTACCTGATGGTTGAAGGGTGCAGGATGGGATTGAGAACCCTGCATCTGTAATGTGCTTTTCAGCTGATCGTGATATGTGTAATAGGTAGACTATCCGCATTCTGAGAGAGTTAGCATCAGATATTGGGAAGACCTGTGCTGCAGGGAGGGAGGGGTGTGTGTGTGTGTGTGTGTGTGTGTGTGTGTGTGTGTGTATGCACACGCACACACACAGACACACAGATACACACCAGGGAAACAGTTGCCTCTGTCAATCACCCTAGGAAAAGCAGGAAAATAGAGGGGAGGGGATGGTGTTGGGAAGAGATAAGGGAGGGGAGAGATTGGGGCCACATTATCTTGGAAAGTCCAGGTCAAATTGACTCATAAAATTAACCACCACCACCTGCCAGTAATGACCAGGTGCAGTCAAGCCGTTGCAATGTTTCCTCAACAGTCTGCTAACCTTGGGGACTCTTCTAGACACAGAGGCAGAAAGAAGGGGTGTTTTCATTGCCGAGTTAGTCATCAGAGATGTGAGGGAGGCCGTCAAGCCTCATGATCCTCAGAAGTGTCTGTGAGACTGCACCTGGTACTGTGGGATGGAGTGGGGGAAGGGAAGGCTCAGAGAGGCTGTGTGACAGGTGAGTGGAGACCTAAAGGCTGAACGAGTCCTGTCAGCCAGAACTACAGTGCGGGAATTCCAGGAAGAGGGAGGCAGAGACCGGAAAAGGAGAAATGTAGGACCCTGACAATATGTGTGGTGGTTTGAGTGAGAATGGGCTCATGTGTTGGTGGGACTATTTGGGAAGGATTAGGAGGTGTGGCCTT